CTTCCATGTCAAAGCTATAAGGAGAAAGAAAGGCAGGAGGAATGCAAACAGAGGGAGAAGGGTGGTTCAAGCTTTTATGTTTTCTGTAGGGCATTCTGTGCTGTAAAGCTGTGTCAGGGAAACGCAGATGAAAGAGGTAGATGGCAGAGATGGGCTTTATTCTTCTGCATTTCCCCTTCCATCTTTCTGTCTGTTTTGTATGGCTCTTTATCATACCTCTTTGTTTCCAAAGCTCACTCTCTACTTTCAATGACAGCTCAAAGAATGGAAGTCAATGCAGCATAAAAATTCACCTGCATTAGGGCAACTGGTGATCATGACCACGCTTTAGCCATACTGACAACTTTTCACATCCCTTCCCTTCAGCCTAGTGACCACGAACCTCCAGTTAAGCTGGTTTTTGGCACTGTGGTGATGTCCTAAACCATTAACTCTTGTATTTTGTTCCACAGCAACAAGTCAGCCGGTTTCATGCAGCTCACACTTGTGTCCCCAGCTGCCTTATTTATTAAAATGCTTCTAAAATACCCCAAATATTTCTACTTTTCCCCTGTTGGAAGCAGTCATGGCAGGCTCAGGGGTGTGTGATGCAATTGCAGGCTTGAGGAAGGGTGGCCCATGGCACTGCGAGTGGGAAGGGAGGTGTCTCTGAGTCAGTCTCTCTGTTAATGCTTGTTGTCCATGCGGCAGGAAATCTTGAGGACATCTGCTGCAGGAAATCCCATTCCTCCTCCCCTGGTACCAGTTATCTCAGCCACCTCACTTGGCACGGGTAGCTCATGTGCCGATGGCAGCCTGCGGGATGGCTTGGACATGCTGAGTCTGTGGGTGATGGCTTCCTTGTAGGCTAGTGAGAAGGGCAGAAGGTGGTTACTGTCATGGTGGAATCCAATTCCTAGCAGGAAAAGCCTATGGATTTGGATTCTTTTATTTATTTGCTTGGATTCTATTATTTATGGTAATGCTTCCTTCAGACACAACCAACCTCACACAGTCTGGTTTAACACCGGCTGTGTGCTGCCGAAATGGCTATCAATAACCTGCACTGAACTCACCTCATTTATTCACCAAGTCACTTAAGATCCGATTGTCTTCTTGCTGAGGTTTCTTGTAGCTTTAAAAGCCGTGATTTGAGACAGTTTGAGGTTTAATTTAACAGGACGATGCCTTGTGCAGTGAGGGAGCTGCAGGGGCCGGATCTGCCCCACGCCGGACGCAGCCGGTTCCGGCCGGTTCTGCACTCCCCACACCACAGGAGCCGGTGAGGAGAGCTGTGGTGCCTCTGGAAACGCGTTCAACAAAGGGCAAATGGCTGCTTAGGCTGTGAGGGAAAACCAATGTGAGCATATCCCGGCCACGGCAGGAGGAGGAGGAGTGCTCCTGGTGCTGGAGCAGAGGTTGCTATGCAGCCTGTGGAGAGACCAAGGCGGGGAGATGGCTGCCCCTGAAGGATATTGCAGCCTGCACAGAGCACCCTGACAGGAACTGTGGCTCATGGAGAGGATCCATGCTGCAGCAGGGAGAAAGTGTGAGGAGGAGGAGGAAGGAGCAGCAGAGAGGAGCTGTAATGGACTGACCACAGCCCCCATTCCTCATCCCGGGGTAAGGGGGCAGAGGAGTCAGGAATGGAGCAGTGGAGTTGAGCCTAGGAGAAAGCGATGGGATGAGGTGAGAGGAAAACGCTGTATGGAGAGAAACAAATATAAATTAAAAAAAGTTATTCTAATTAGCAATAAGTTAGATTTTTCTCAAGTCAAGTGTGTTTTGCCCATGAGGGTAATCGCTAACCCTCTATCTGTACCCATGTAGTGTGTCCTTTACTCAGTTAATGAATAAGAGCTGTTTGCGTGGTGACATTTCCTCATGTGGACCAATTTGCAGGCATACTTTTACGTCTGTTTTCTTGCTAATTTGCCTGCAGATCTTAGCTCATTTTGAAAGACAAGTTTATTTGTGGGTGGGTTGTGAACAGTTCCCAGCTAAATCTATGTACAGTTTTCTGTGTGAAAATCTGCAGTGGGCTTTTTGCTAACAGCAGAAGAAATAGAAGAATATAAAGAAATAAAATAAAAAGAATTAAAGAATAAAAGAAATAGAAGGCAGGTGAAGCTGGAGATGTCTCTCTGCTCTTCAGCTTGGCTCATGAAAGAAGATAGGAAATTGTACATGTGATATTCCTGTAGTTCTGGTGCTGGACCATCTTAAATCACAGTGCTAATGTCTTCTTCAGCTGAGCTTCTTATGATGACACTTTAAGTATTGAGAAACAGTGCAGAGTTGCATGAAACAAACCAAAATGACTGTTCCTCTGGCAATTGCCTATCCATCTCTGAGGAAAAAGGTTTGAAACTTCATTAAGAAATTATTTACATGGGGGAATTGTTAGCTATCATCTTTTCTTGCCTCTTCTTGGTAATACATCATCTGCATAGATTTGTTCTTGCAGTTAAACAACTCAGAGGCACGGCCAGAATATGCATTACTGCTTTTGCTTGCACCATATCTTCAAAATCCAGTACGTCGTCTGTCCTAAAACATCAGGAGAAACACTTGCTGCTAATACACCTGGATTTGTGCTGCAGCAATAATTAGCAACCTGTCACTATCAGAGTGTGATCAGCAAACACTCTGATGTCAGGCAAGTTATGGTATGTTTACCTGTACACATGTTAAAGTACTGACTGCAGTGCAAAGGAACCAGTTGGACTGCATTGAAGCAACATCTCCCCCTTAATCCAGTCAGAGGTTATGTACTGAAAAATCTGGTTCAGCCTCTGAGTGGGGGATGGATGCAGAGCTAGCTGGAGCAGATCTCTGATGAGAGAGGGTCTGTTTAGTGCTTTAGTTGTGATGAAGTAGAGCAGCCACTTGTACCAGTCAGGCTTCTTTAGCAGAGCGAAAGGTTATTGTTCCTACTAGGCAACACAAACTACCATCAGTCTGGGGCTGCTTTGCACTCTATTTAAGAAAATAAGCAAACAAAGCTTGAATAAACAAGCAAAGTAAAGCCCCTCTTGCATGCCTAGTGTCTTTTTGGTTAGTATCCAATTGTTGCTGCAGCTAGCTAGGTTGAGTTCTTCTGAGATCACTGGTGGATGCAACTACAAGTGCAGTCAAAGTTATCCTTAGAACAGAGAGCATTAGAGAAAAGGAAGAAGGGCTAACAGCCTTCAAAGTGACACACTGAACTCTCCAGCCGCTGGTTCTTGCTATGCAAGTTTTACCAGTGAAACCCACCTCGTGAAATCAGTGGTGTTTGGATCTCTCTGTGCTGGGTCTGGAGGCAGACAGCTTGTCTGCTCTGGTGGAAAGGCAAGCACCATCATCCATTAGGCTTAATGATAAGAACTTGTTTGCTGTACTCATTTTATGAGTAGAAATGTTATGGGATGGTCAGAGCTAGCAGTGAGCTAGGCAAAACAAAGGCATCCATCACAGGTAAATGTTTGTTAGCCTCTGGAGTGATACAGGAGAGATTGATTTGATCGGTGTGATGCCCCTCTGACCCTCTCAGCTGAATGTCCAGATCTCCATTTACACATAGGTCAACTGTCAGAGCCCTTCTCTGCAAGTGCCAAGTTTATCCCCCGAGGTCCGTAGTAAGAGGTTATAGCTTCTCTACCAACATGCCCCCAAGCTAAGCAAATAGTGCCAGCACTTGTCTGCATTTGTATACCAGCCCCAGGGAAGATAAATGGCTTATTGAGCTCATACTGAAGGTCAGTGGGTCAAATACTGAGTAGCGTCTGTCTTGCAATCTGTGCCTAAATTATAGGAAACATTTATGTGTGTGCTTAAATCCAACCCCAAACACTAAGGAGCTTAAGAGCACCTTTACACTGAGCACATTCCTGAGTATTTGCACCAATAGGAAAAAAAAAAACCAACCCCAAACCAAGCATTGAAAACACAGTATCCAAAATGTGTTCATGTCTTGGTTTTTTTATAGGAAGTTAGCTGAGCCTCTGTGATACTTCTAGCCAAATGAGCTGTGAGTAAGGGATACAGCTTACCTGGGGCCAAATCCTGCCTCCCGTTAGTCAGGAGTCTCTCTTCTGTAGTCTTGGGTTTATTTTTTCGACTAAGTAGGGAATACAATATTCATCCAGAGGTTCTTATGTGGTGTTTATACCTTTTTAAAATAAACCCCTCCCTCACCTTTTTTGATATAGTCCATTTAAAGCAGTTGTACACAGAAAAATGGGTGGAATAAAATCCTGGCATCAATTAAGATCTTACGTTCTAACCCATAAAAACGAGGTGAGGTATCTGAGCTGGAATGCAGAATCTGGAGAAAGCAGTAAGGTAGTTTCCGGTGCTATTTTTGTATTTCCTGAGGCTTGTGTCATTATGTGCTGCCTTATTACTATTCTCCTATATAAGATATGAAAATAACAGAGGGAAATTGCTTTTCCATTCGATTTCCTGAAGTCTAAAACACACCATTATTTCATCTTGCATTCAGATATCTCTGATATTTAAATGCTGAAGATCCATATTAGTTGGATGCTTCACAATGTATATCCATGTTCCTGAGAGTTTGGTTTATGCTTAGATTTCCTTTGAAATATTTCACTCCTTTCTCCTTCTTCGTTGTTTCTCTTGTTTATTCCAGTTAAAAGTATCTTTCTTTCTGCAACTGGCATGTGTAGTTTTTATTATGTTGTCGTATTTTTCATCCCTGAATGCTGAATCTTGCTGAGCTTAGTCACATTGGTCAGGTGGTGAAGCCCAGTGTGCTAGGGCAGGAGCAAACCTACTCTCTTTTTCCAAGTGGTTTGGCTACACTGTAATGTGTGAAACTGTTGAGAGCAGTAACATAGTAGCTCTTAAAAATTCTTGATTTGATTGAGTGTAGTAGCACAACCATTTTGGGCTTGTTTTGGGTCATTTTTTTAAGGCCAAATGCCTAACTATAGTCACAATTAGTTCCTACAGTTATTATTAGGTCTCGGTATTCTTACTGATACACTGTGGATGTTTTCTTTGCATTTTGACAGGTATACAACATGTTTCAACATCAAAGTCTTGGAATTAAAGTCAGCATTCGAGTGACCAAACTAGTGCTGCTTCGCAACCGTCCTGTAAGTTCTAACTCATCTTTACCCTGCAGCTGTGGTTGGACTGTTGTAGTCACACAGGCAGAGCAGAATCCCTGTCTGGGGTGGGGAGTGGGGCATGTCTGGCTACATGATCACCAACTATGAGTAGTGTCTGCTGCGTTTTACCACGTGCTGTTAAAGGTGGGATGTGTGGGGGGCTGTGGAAGTGAAAGCAGCTTCTTATACAGCACTACATTCAAAAGTCTCTTAAGTCTGGCTTTTGTATATGTATGATATGAAAGCCATATCACAGAATGCCAGGTTGGAAGGGACCTCAAGGATCATCTGGTCCAACCATTCTAGTCCCTAGCTCACTTGCTCAGATGAAGCTGTTTTTGAACTTTTTGGTCTATCACATCTGTATTTTTAAGCCTCTGATTTTTCATTGGAGGTCTAATGCTTTATGTAAAGAATGTGACTGATATTTATTCTTTTGTATCTCTTATTTTTCCCAAAAGGCAAAATTGTCCATTGGTCATCATGGAGAGAGGTCTCTGGAGAGCTTTTGTCAATGGCAAAATGAAGAATATGGTGGGGCAAAATACCTTGGTAACAACCAGGTTCCTGGCGCAAGGGATGACACCCCTCCTGTGGATGCTGCTGTTTTTGTAACCAGGTATAGTGAGGTTTGGTTAATCAGTTTACTTCAACCACTAATGGCCTATAGTCAGTGATGGGTTTATCTAGTCTAGCAGTAATCTAAGAAAAAGATCTGTTGATGATGATACATGTGCTACCTATATGCTGTGCAGATGGCTCAGATGAAAGTGGTTTGTCTTCTTTCTGTGATACTTCACAAGGTTGTGCAAAAGCACCTTTCCTCTTGAGCCGCAGTGTTGTTATAGTCATTGTCAGGATACTGTAGCACAGCTGTTACTGTTTTCTCACACCAGCTGGTATAAGTTGGAAAAAAGTTGAGGTTTTGGAGCATAAACCCTTCTTCCTAAAAGAAAGAAGCTGTGTAATTGAGAACCAGTTGAGAACACGTGCTCTGTGTGTAATTAGGTATGAAACAACTGAACAGCCTGAGAGGAGCAGACAGTGTATCAGTAGTGGGGATGTCACTAGTGCTGTACATGCTAGAAAAACACGACTGCCTCCCCAGTTCTTCCCCAGATTGAGACAGGAAATGTCTGTACTGCAGTTTAATATCATTTACCACTTTCACCTTTTTTTCTCTGCCAACAGTGTAGGTAGGAATACATGTTTTTGCATAAACTGCCATTGTGATTGCAATAATCCCCTGGGTTAAAAGTCACATTGCAAACTATCCATGGGATTTTGGTGTATGTTCAGTAAAATAGCTGGTGAGCAGGGCATGGGGCCTGCAAAGTTCCTAAAGAATGCACCTTCACAGACATGAGTGCAGCTCCCACAAATCCATGTCTCTCCTCTGTATTCAGTGTAGTCCAACCAAGCACTTAAGCAGATACTTAACATTTTAGACAGGGTGAATAGTTCCTTTGAAGTCAATGGGCTGCACATCCTGGTTATAGTTAAGCATATACTTCACTGGACCAGAGCCTAAAAAAATAACTAACATTTTTGCTAAACTCATCTCGGCATCCAGTTGTCCCACATGACAAGCCAGGCATACAGAATCTCTTCTGATGTGCTCAAAGCACATCGTGGAGGAATAAGCAGAGCACTTCATCTGTGCAGTCTCTCTGCAGCTTATGAAATTGAATGTATAATGAGTTGGACTTGGGCTTCTGAAAGAATTGTAGAAAGACTTTGTAGGAAGAATTGTTCAATAGATTTTCAGGGGTTTGCAGCCAGAATACCTGGAGAAGTACAGGATTGGTTGGGCTAGAAACTAAGTTCAGATTGTGTGAGAAAGTTCAGTCTAGGGAGCACATTGCTGTGCATTAGAACAGGATTTTTCCTGTTTGATAGGCCATCAGTGTGTACTTGTGGTCTTTTTCCTTCCTTCTTGCTATGTCTTGTGATCCTTAACCCATCTTGCTTCTGCTGCATAGAGGATACAGTGTTGCTTGGAAGACTTCTGGCCCAGCAGCCTGATTCCTGTGTCAGGGAAATGAGGCTTTCTACTCTTGGCGTTGGAAGTGCGTGTATGTGTGTGTGTGTGTCCCTGGACCCTCCCCAGACTGTCCAGATGGACCACTGGTAGAGGATGTGGGAGCAACAACATGTCCAGCACAAGCAATTGGGCCAGAAAAAGCAGAAGCTGAATTTTCAGCAGCTGCAGCTGCTTTAGGACTAGAAACAGATTACGTAGGGTCAACCTCTGAAGAAATCCCTGTGGTTCCAATCTGGCTGTGCTCATCTGAAACACCAAGGCGCACTTGTCTTTTGAAACTTCACCTCTAGCTGATGTTCCCCATGTACTCATCTGTATGCAGAAGGAGATTATCTAGATGGTAAATATCTCTCCTGTGGGACTTTGATAGTATCCCCTATCAAGTTCCAGGAAAAAGGCAAACTATGTGAAATAAGATGTACCATTGTCCAGTTCAGTAAATAAATGAGACAGTGAGAATAATCTGTTATAGCCCTGAAGGTCTGAGTATAGTGTTATATATGTAATCTGCCTTTTCTTGTTCAAATTCTGGTTTTGAACTTGCAGAAATTCAAATCTCTTGTCATGTGTGGATAATGTACTTCATATTTTAATGGGCAGCTGACCAGAATAACTTCTCTTTGTGGGATCTGTATCTTCAGTGATCTTAGAAGTATGTCTCATTGGAAACATATTCCCCCTCTTGATCTGTCTTTTGCATTCCCTAGGAAATCTTCAGACACACTGATGTTCTCCCCACCTCCTGGCTGTAGGTTCTTGGGCCACTTACCAGACTAGTGATATGTAATAGCAGAGAGAAGAGTGACATAACCCTGACAGGAACAGCACTTAGAGCTGTCATTAAGCAAAGACATGGGTTTATTTTCCTGACATAGTGGTGTAGCTTTTCCATTTGCAGCCTGCTCCTCCCTTCCACATTTCTCCAGCCTTTTGCCTTCCCATTAAATGGGCAAATGAAGCAATTCAACGTGCATTGAGAAAACTGGGTGCAGAGTGCTACTAAATGTATATATGGACGTGGAAAGTTTTCTTTGGCAGCTGTACCAATTTCCTCTGTCCTTTAGCTTTATGACCCTGCAGGGTGAAACTGGTCAAAAGATGTCATTTGAAGGATGCTGGGAAGGGGCTGCTAAACAGAATGCTTCTTATTCATGTTGCACAGTTCAGCTACTGTCTTTCTTTCTTGCAGGAAGGACTTGAATTGCAGAATTTAGCTTAGCACAGTTAGGTATTTTTTTCCAGTTTGTGTGAGCCAGATGGAAGAGTGACTGTAGGAGGAGTTCTGAGCTCTTCTTTTCTGGCCATTTTTATTGAGCAAAACAACTGACTTGTTGTCATCATTTTAGAAGAATTGTTGAAGTCTGCTAATGGAAACTGTCTGCAGTTATCTACAAGTGATAGTGACTGAGATTTTCACAGGTCCCTAGAAGGTGAGAATACATGTCCTGCTTGATTCAGTCAGGGGCTAAAAGTGGAGAGTAAGATTGCTTCACAGCTGCAGTGTGTGATTTCAATATATTGTCTGAGACTGAATATGGTAAGGTCAGATCTTGGATTTGAACTTAAGCTTCTGGAGTAAGAGTTTTACTCCAACATAGCTCTATAAAAGATTCTCATAACAAAAGGATGTCTCTGTGATAAGAGACATTGCACATGCAATTAAGGTATCTTTTTTATAACTTTGGAGTGTCATTATAGTATCATTCATGTCAAGTTCTTGTGTAAAAAATATACATGGAGTGAAGCTCAAAAACACACCAGGGACAGACCTGTGATTGATACCTTTTTAAAAGCAGAGCAGTTTCAGTGCCATGATGGGGCCATCTTACCTCACTGGTGTGATTGATCCACAGGTGAGGTAGATCTTTCTTAAAGTGTTTTCTCCCCTCTGACTGCTCTGATTGAAGGGTCTGTGGAATTTCAGTATATAGGTTTTGTGAGGGAGTGGCTGCTTGCCTTTGGAAGAAGTCTGTGACTCATCAAGCTCATTTGGGACTAAAGGTTTGGATGTGCTTTTCTGTTTGGCTAAAGAGTTTTGGGGTAAAATGTTTACAGTAGGTCTGGAGGATTTAAAGTTTAGGATTTTGGTACTTTGAATAGAAGGATGGTGTCTCTTGAACTTGTGTTTATGATAGTTTAAAGAACAGGCAGAGGAGGTTTCATACTTGGAGGCCTGCATACAGTGAATTGAACAGATCTAGTCATTTCTTGCTGATCTGTTTCAAGTCCTTCGCTGGCCAGACAGAATCACAGCACTCTCTTACAGACAAGGAGTGTTCTGCCTCTCTAGGAGAGTCTGCAAGTTTGCTGGATCATTTACAAGACCCCTCATTTTATGGCATGGTGGTAATTTCTGTAGGGAGCTGCCTGAAAGTATCAGACACCTTTCAGTGTACAACAGAGTGCAGGAGCAAAATTGCTGTGCTTTATTTGCAGAGCTGGCCAGCCCTTGCAAAGAGATGCTTTTCTAGCAATGGCCTCCTGCCATCTACTAATAGTTCAGCTATCTGTTGTCACAAGAAAAGCATCTGTTTGATTTACCAGTTTATATAACATAATAAGTCCTTAAATAAACCTCTGTCAAGTTGGCTCTGGGAACTCAAGCAGGCGTGTTTGTGCCAGCTCCGTCAGGAGACTGTCATTAGTCTTCTCTGGAAAGGCTGGAATGCCAAGGTGTCGAGACACAGTCAGGCTGTGGTGAAAAATGAAAGCTGGGGCTGGTGTGTGGTCGTAGCTTCCGATTCTGTTTTGTTCCCATCTGATTTTTTAACACTTCAGTGGTTGTTACGGTTTTTCTACATTTAAGCATGGTTGGTTTTCAATGTCTGCTTAACAAAAGCTGGTAGAAGCTGTTGTTTCTCTTCTTCCAAGCCCTTGACAACTTGATTTGTGACTTTCAAAGGACTTTAGTGTGAAGGGTTTGGGTTCATCATCAGCAGTCCTGGGCCTTAAGTCCCTTTTCCTATAATCCTAGATTTCATATTTTTCTTCACAAAGAAGTATTTTTAATCTTTCCCTATTTTTATCTTTCTCCAAGTGTTTTCTTTTTCTAAGTATTTATCTTTCTCTAACTATTTTTAATCTTCTCCCTGCCAAACTCTTAAACTCAGACTCCCACTGGGCACTCAGGCATTTCAAATGTCACACTCCAAATGTACTAATATGATTCTCTCAGTAGCCTCCCTGCAGGGTGAGGAAAGCCATAATGATAGAGATTATGGTTCCTCAGCTTCCCTTGGGAACTCCTGAAATGTTTTAGCACATGCTTTTCTCCAGCTTCTCTTTGTAGCAGATCACATTGCAAAGCAGGTCTGGTGAAGATAGCTCCTAAAAGTTTGGGTTGAAGTGCTTATTGAAATGTATTCAAACCATTAGTTTAGTTGTAAAATACTTTTTCTCCCACACTTGTTCTTCTGTCATGGGGAATCTTATTTACATCTTCTCATGTGAAGTATCATTGCTCAGATGGTGAACTTCAAGGCTTTTTATTCTTTCTGTGTAATACAGTTCCATGGATCCCTGGTTGATTTGTGGGTGTCAAGGGCACAGGTAGTACCTCCTGTCTTGATGAGATGTGGGGGAGTAACAGAGACCAAATGAAGTCACAGGTAGTACCTCCTGTCTTGATGAGATGTGGGGGAGTAACAGAGACCAAATGAAGTCTCTTGAACCTCTCTGTGTTGGGTTCAAAGCATAAAATGGCAAATTGGACTGTAATGAGTGTAGCTGAAGCCAATTCACCTGGCTGTTACCTGGCAAATCTTGAAGTTCTCTTCCTTTGTCCTTGTCAACATCAGTCTTCTCTATTAGATCCTGCTCCTTTCTTGTCCTTTACTATACTAGTGTAAGAAGAAAAAAACCTGAAGAATTAAGAATTTCTGGCTGTACGTATTCAGTTCTGTGTCTCCAGGAAGCGCCCCAACACATCTCCTCCTCCCACTTTTAATGGCGCTGTTACGTCACAGAGTGCCTGCTCCTTTTTGTTACAGTTCTCTTGTGAAAATAAGAGGTTCAGTTTTAATCCAGTTGCAGAAGTCTGACATCACAGAGTGAGGCTCTTTTACATGCTGAGGTCTGTTAAACTGGACTGTAGTATATGAAGCTGATTCACATAATTGCTGTAATCTCGCAGTAGCAATCAGTGCTATCTGTGTTGTCATCGTGTAGCCTGCACAGCAGTTGTAAAAAAAAACCCTCAAACCTCAACACCCATGATATGTGAGTCATGCATCACTGCTTTTCCCTAGCCTCAAGTCTGGAGGCACAGGATACATTTCACTTCTGTTCTGTTTTTCTTTCTAGGACAGATTTCTGCGTACACAAAGACGAGCCTTGTGACACTGTGGGTAAGTCAAAGAAGTAGGGCAGAGTGTTTTGATAGCCAACACCATGCTAAGAGGAACTTTCTGGGCTTGGTTTGCTGTAAAGTTGCTTTTGCTGTTCTGTATATCTCTGTGATACCAATAGGGATTAGTTGAGCAGGGTATGAATTATAAATAAAATGTTGATTAAATATTAACCCCTTGTAAGCACTGGAGGCCTCTGAGTTCAGGAAATGATCTGAAATATTCCTGCTTTGAAGTGGATGTAGAATTAGATAAACTGGAGATTAAGAAACTGTCTTTTGGTGTGTCTGTACAATGCTACTTTCAGTACTCTCTCACCTAAAAGAAGAACTTGCCAATTAATGAATGTATTTCCCATTGTAAGAACCTGTGTAACACTCCCAGATCAAACTGGCACTCAGACACCAGAGAAGAATACCTCATTGTAGGAAAGCCAAGTTAAATCTTGTGTTCTGCCTCCTACTTCTACTTCCTAACTGCCTTTAATCTTATCCAAACCCTGGATACACAGGGTCCTTACATCCCACACGTTAAATAATTTATTTATTTATGTAGCTTAGGTAGCAGTAACCTTCACTGTACCTGTCCTCCTGGTATCTTTAAGTAGCTACGGTGTTTGGAGGCACAACTCAACATCCTCTCCATGATGATTGTGTGACTTTTTTTAGGCTTGCCTCTAAGTCAAGTGGCCCCTTATCCTACATCCTATGTAAACTTGGACTGGATCCTGATTTTCAGCTGATCTTATAGTCCAGTGTTCAGAGAAACACAGATCTAGAGTTTGCTTTGCTTTACCACCCAATAGTGGGTGATGAAGAACACGGGGGGAAATGCCTTCAGCAGGAGCTCTGGAAGTACCTACAGAAGCCTCAACCCAGAAGGCAGGTCCTTCCCCTTCTGTGTTGTGGCGATTGATCAGGTAAAAGGAGGAAATACAGAGCTGAAAAACACATTTTCTTTTCAAACATGGGCAAGGACTGGCCTCTATGTCCAAGGTCTTTTTTTCCAGTCAGAATCTCTCACAATCATTTATTCTGTGCCCAAGGGAAAACACCCTTCCCCTGAGAAGGGTTTTTATACCATGTACCTGCATCTGGACATGGCTGTGGTAAGATGCAATAAAGTAACAAAAAGAAAGAAGCTGATGGCAGACACATGCTGACTAAGGTCAGAGCTCTTTCCATTTGTAAAGACGGTATTGTTGAAGATCTCTATTCAGGGAATTATATTGCCATAGACAGCATGACTAAGGAAATATTTTTATAACTTCTTTTCTGTTCTTACAATACCCAAGTACTTTCTTGTGCTGCAACTTGCTGCAGGCTGTGGCTGCAGTGGAGAAAGCGGAAGATCAGAGCAACAAAGATTAAACTCATTTGTGACTCTTTTCAGCGTAGTTTTTCCAAGATATTTAAAGGTGGATGCTCCTGGGACAAAACCAGCCTGGCCTCTTTGCTGTCTTCAGTCCTGCTTTTCCTTCCTTCCTTCCTTCCTTCTCCCTGACAGTTTTATTATGTAGCAGCAAAGCAACAGTGTCTTCACTTACGCGTTTTCTATGCCCCACTGTTTCTGTTGTCTGAACCCAGAGATGGTGTGCTGTCTCTGTTGTTGCCAGGTTCCTAGTCCTAATTCTAGCTCCCAAGATAGTCCACTCCAAAACAGCAATGTTACCCGTGAAAGCAAGAAGCTAGCAGAGTGGAATCATATTTGGTCTTTCAGTAATGCTGAGGGTATAACACTCCCCAAAGTTCTTTAGAACAGCAACTTGCTTTCATTTCTTGCCTTATGCTTCACTTCTATATATTAAGAACATGACCTCAGCAGATGCACATGTGGTTTTGTACCTGCTTATGGATGAAATTGGCCATTGCAATGTGGTATGCTGCAATCCTGTAAAGGAAGAAACATCTTTCTGGTGAGCAGGCATTCCCCTAAACTAGGAGACTGAGGCTACTTCTCTATATAAGGGAGAGGATCTGGCCTCTAGACTCCTGATTTCTATTCCCAGTTCTGGCATTGACTCATTGTGTGACATTTGGCAAGTCACATTCTGAATGCTTCTGTCTACCTCCATGAAATGAGGATTTTGAGTGCAAAGCTACAGGAGATTGCATGGCTTAAGAACTTCTCACCTAAAGCAGCATGATGTCCTTGATTATACGATGCAATACAAGCCCAGAATCTAATGTTTCTTAGTCATGTTCAGGAGACTACAAAGAATCTATTAGACAATGTGTACTGAAATCAGAGGACTCAGAGAGCTGCAGGTAACGGGTGTTTTAGTGACAGTTCCTTGATCTTCTTTGTGAGAAATATGGAAGCAAAACTTTCCCTGATGGAAGTATGGAGGCCCAGTGTTGTTCGGAAGTGGGATTATGAAGTTTAAATGGCCTATAAGAGGTGTTCGTTTGTGCTTAGAAAGATCCATATTGAAAAACCTGTCTGGAATCTTTGCCTGCCATGCAGACACCGAGAGAAAACAGCAGCAGGAGGTTTGTATTTGTATTCTGGCAGGAGCCCCTCACTGAAACCAGTTGCTCTGGGGACTTGGTTCAAATTTTCTTGGCCCAGCTGCCAAAGTAGTGTGGAAGGTTACATAATGGCTGAAACAAGCTCAAAAATGGTGAAAATATGTAGGTATGTCTTTGTGGGGTGAGACCCCACTGCCTGCATCAAGAAACAGGACCATGTTTGTTTAAGAAATAGTTTGTTAATGCTCATTGCTCCATTTGGTTGTGTGAGTTAGCTTTGAGAAGGAATGAATTCCAAAAGAGGTGGATGGAAGGAAAACAACATGACTGTGTGCAATAGATTTACAACAATTATGCTTCCACAGCCTCTGTTGTGGGACCCCTGATACTCTCTGCGACTCGAGCAGGAAAGGTTGGCTTTGTGCAATGCAGGCTTGTCACACAGCACTCAAAAAGCTTGCAGTGTGCTGCTGCTTCAGACTCATCTCTCGTGATGTGACTCTAACCAGATCTGCCGTTTCCTGCAGAAAAATCTTTGTTCCAATTGAGCTGCCTCTAAGCCAGCCAAATTGAGAGTTTAATGTCTAGCTATTAATATCGGGCTGCAGCTTGGAGCCTTGCACGTTGTCAGGATCCAACCTTTCTGTGACATAAGCAGATTGAGAATGCCCCTTTCGTTCAGTATTTCCACTGCTAGTGCCAAATAAGCAGCTTTACGGTTAGTTAGGAATGATCCTGCATATTTCAAGGCAAAGCTTGGCCTTGATTCCTCAGTGTACATGTTACCCCAGATCCAAGCTGAAGCTTCCCTGTATTCAGCTAATAATAAAAGTGGGGGCAGTGTGGAACTGGGAAATGGAAAATGAGAATGTGTCTTAAATATCCTTAAATTGCCCTGGTTAAAAATGTCTTTACCTCTGCTGCAGTCACATGTGCTTTTCTGTGGCTTGACGCTGGGGAAAAGAAAGCAGAGTGTAGTGTGTATGCTGCAGATGGGCAGGTTTAATTGAAGGAATAGCTGCCTGGAGAAAACCAAGCATCAGAGCAGGGGTGATTGAGAAACAAGAGTTTTCCACACTGTTTCCACAAGTGAATCAATGTTTGTGTGAAAAACATTCCCATCTCCTGGCTGGCTTTAATTAAAGGTCTCAAAGGTAACTTCCAAAAGTCCTGAAGATTAGAAATTCTTCCAGAATTTGTCTTTTTTCCTGACTCTTCCCAAATCCAATATGTGAATGGGGAAATTGAGGTTTGGTTTTGCCTGTGCTGCTGACTGCAGAGATGGCATCCTGCTGCACCAATGTCTTCGTATCTTAGTCTCTCCCTTCCTTCCAAAGTGCAGTTAGAGAGCTATGGGTGAAAAGTGCTATGAGAGAGCTGCATGTTATGGTGCTATTTACCAACTTCCCTCCCTTTGTCGCTACACCCTGCTTTCTTCTTAGGATTTTATTGTATTAAAGTGTTTCAAAATGTGCCCAAACAACATTTGGTCCAGGTCTCCAAGTAGATTTCATCCTTTTTTAATTCCATGTAAAACACCTGAATAAGGCACTGCACATTCCTACCTTCTTGGCTGTTTGCTGCACAGTTGGGTGGCCTCTTGCCCACAGCCAAGCAACAGTTCTGGTCGTCCTGCTGGTACTGTGTGCTGTTCATCTAAATCTTCCTCCCAGTGTGATACTGATTCCAGTCCCCTGAGAGTGTCACAACAGAGAATTAATCCCTAAGGAAAGGGAAAGGACTAGCTGCTGTGCTGTGAGTGGAAAAGAAAAAGAGTTCTCACATTAAAAACATTTTCCGTAGTGGTTCGTGTTGAATGTTTCTGTATATTCCAGGGCGGGTTTTTAGTTGATGCCAGAATAAATAGAAATACCTGCTGCTTAAAACAATTCATTAGAGAAGCAGTGCCTGGCTTTAGCAAAAGGCTTGCTGGGGCTGTCCTTCAGACCAAAACCAAGCACACTTTAATGCATTAAAATGAGCATACTCTAGGTTAAAATGTCGCTTAAAGGAACACTGGCAGGTTGATTCAGAGTTTGTGAAAGGAAGAGACCTCCCAGCACTGCATTTTTCTGTCACTTGTGGCTCTGTAGGGCAATAGAGTGTCAGGCTGGCTTTATGAAACCAAAGGGAGCTGTGGTACAGTGCAGTGAAAGACTTTTTCCCCTTGTCTGTTGGTTGCTAGGGAATAAGTGCTCAGCTGCACAACCCAGACAGTGCAGGACTGTGCTATTGGGCATATTCATCACTACCATCTCAGGCCCCACCCTACACACAACAGCCTTCCAATTTCTTTTCACCAGCTAGCAATCTCTCCTCTTCCAAATTCCCACTGAAAAAACAGTGTGCCAAGTGAGTGTAACATAAGATTGCAGAACTTTTATTAGAAGCCCTGGGATGAGCACAGCCACTCGAGTAATGAGGAATTCCTGCTGCCGTAACCTTTCCTCTTCTTCATCTCCGTGTCCTGTGTGCGCTTCTCCTTGTTTCAGAGACATGGCTTCACATGTGCACAGCTGTTTACAGGCT